TTTGAATTAATAGAAATAAATATCATTAATTGGTATTATTTGTTTTAAAAAACCTCAAGAAACATAGAATGCCCATAAAATATAGAATATTTAATTATAATTTCCAAAAAGATATATTATTTTTTTATCAAGTGTCTACCTTGAATTTTTCGTCTTTGACATAGAAACAAAAATACTCTACGAAAAACGGCATTTTGATAATTCCTGATATAAAAAGGAGCTTAATTATCAAGAATTAAAAATGTGACTTTTTTGTATATATAAATTAATTTATATTTGTTAATAAAAAGTTATTTAACATTTGAGTAAAATTGCTATAGCTATATACCAGTACAAATATTCTAATCTAAGAACGACCTTCGATTAGAAACGAGGAAATTAATATTTATTCCTTTTGTTTTCTTTATCGGACTCGATTGTGTGGCGCTTCAAGGTTGATGAGCTGGCAGTATAATGGAATGGCATTTATATATCTCGTGACTCGTTGCAATTCCGAGTAGACAACTTTGAATACTCCGCAATCTTGGCACAAATTCAGAAAATCTCAACATCAGAAATCCTCACTTTGACACCCACGAGTATAATCTTTTTTTTGTTTTACATTCATGCTACAGATAAATTACCAACATACGAGAAAGTGGATTTTGTAGCAGCATAATTTTATTTATATATATATATATACAGTAATAAATCTTCGGCAAATAATTGAACTACCACATGCAAAATTGAATGAATATTCATGAAAGTTAATTTTCCTTATGCACATAATTACATATCGTTTAAGGATATAATATAATGTCTCTCGCAATTCAAAGCATTATCAAAGTATAAAACGTTTATAAATTATTCTATTATTATGTCTGAGTATCCGTGTAAAATTTTAGCATAATTCTTTTATCTGTTTAAAGTTTATTGAATTTTTTGTTTACTTTGATTCTTACGTAAAATTGCAACTTGTAGCACTTTTTTTATGAAGAAATAACATTACAACTAAATTAAATTACTAAACAATCAGCGCCGTATCGGTCACAGTAAGATGTTGAACTACTGACTTAATATACATTCAATAAAATTTAAATTAAATTAAATATATATACTAATGAAACTAATAAATATTCGTGCAAAAATTCATTTTTAGATCCACTTATTTGTTTAAAAGTTATTTACATAAAATAAATAAATTTACATAAAAACTGCAGCAAAATAAGGTAATTGTACTGCATAAGTCATTAAGAGCCAAATAATATTGTTGTTTTTTACATTTGATTTCAGTGCGTATAATTTACTACAACATTTTTTTTATGATATTGACTTTTTTAGCTGATTTTTAGTTGATATCACTTGATATTATGCAGCCAAAATATTCTTAATATTTAATGAAATGTTGAAAAGATAATTAACATCACATATTCAATTATTTTTTATCTTATAAGTGAAATGAAACGTTCTCGTCAATCGTTGTTATATTCGTTGTTAGATTAAGTCAATGCTCTTCGACCTCGTCCCAAAATAACAGAGCACGCCCTCGTTGCTACATTACATTTTGTTCACTGCTTACCTATCAATGCCTTAGGATGAATCGTATAGACAATAAGAATACACATACACATTTATATAAAGCAATTAATAAACGTGATTAATAAAATTATTAATATAGGACAAGCGCTAAAAGTTACAGTACAGTATAACATAAGTCGAGAAACTAATTTAAATGTTTCTATATAAAAATATTTATTATTTAATATTGTTTCTAAGTCACTATAAATATTGTATTCTAGTCACGCCGCTCATCATGAATGCCTTCTACGTTGATTTTGTGGTAACAGAGGCTTCACAATTTTAGCGTATTAATCATCTCTCGACCACATCAAACAACTTCTGCCGCAAAAGGCGCAATGCGCTGAATTGATTTTACGCACAATGACAACAGATACTGCCTAGTTATCTGTTAGCGGTACATAATAGTGAAGTAAATTTCATTCGACAGTATAAAATAATAACCATTCTCTCTACACATACCAGATCTCTCTTATTACCGCTCTATTTACAGTTTCTCGATAACCTTGCACGTGTTTCTTGCAAGGTACTTCCATATCTGTGCCATGCGTTTTTTCTATAATATTAAAAAATTTAAATTTTTATTTGGTTCACTGGATACGTGAAAATAGTATAAAACAATCAATATGTTTGACTTTATTCTAATGGACTTAAATATTACAGTCATTTAATCTTAAAGCAGACACACATTTCGCATCGAATATATATAATTTTTGTTCCTAATATTTTATAGTGATTTTACCATATATTTATTTTTTAGATATAGCCATGATAATAATTATATTATAATTTAAAATC